GTAACGAGCTTACCGCACAGCTAACGGATGAGGCTGACCAGCTGACGTCCACCGAGGGCTCTGAACGCGTGGAGCTTGAACGTGAGCTTCAGGAGTCTAGGTTCGTTACCGATAGCGTCGAGCTGATCGATGAGGAATCCGAATTCAGGAGAATTATTGTTCTTGACGAATTAAACAATCGTTTCATTTTGGAGTTTCATTATATCGATTCGTACGATGCCTTTTTAAGATCTTTGCTTACAAATATTTGGTGGGATTCATTCCAAAATTTTTATCAGAGTGCGCTTGAGCAATCTGAGAGTATCATTAATTTGCATGAACGTTTGAAGGCTCTTTTGGATTTAAATATATCCGAGGAATATTTCTTTCGTCATGTAATTAGTCTTGATGAGAAAACTGAGAGATCCTACCTTAAGGTTCGTTTTTTACGACTTCGTAGTGCGAGTATGACTTCCCGATGTGTTTCTAGTGCCTTGACTCATCGTAGCTGTTCTGATAATGGCGATGATTCAACTGAAACTGATATTTGTCATACAGCTGTCAAACTTTTTCAAAAGATCGGGAGGGGCTATTTATGTCGTAAAAAATTACGTACTCGATTGTTCAACAGACGTTTGGCAATGACTGAACGAGCGATAAGTGATTTTATAAAAACGGAAATGGCTCAGCGCTTTGCGCTACATGATGACGAATCTAGGGAAAGGTTAGATTTGCCAATGATGTCAACATTTCCTATATCAGCTCCCATAACAGATGCCAAGTACCACAGTTTAATTAAAGAGGAGCGTTTAGCACGTATTAAGATAAGCGATGAGTATTTTAAATGCATGCGATTATTACGTCGCTCAGAAAAGTACCATCTTTCCCCAGGCGGGCCCTTCGAGACAGATGACATGCCACAGTTATCACAGTCTACTATGGAAAGCATTTCTGACGAGACCATCTACTACATTGAACCCGCTTTTCATTCGACAAGAAAGTCATCCATCATTCAGTCTGGGACGTATCACGGCTATGAGCTTGATCCTATAGGTGAATTTCTTCTTGATTACGATGAGCAATTGCACCATCTAAAGAATTCAATTGCGGCGCATTGCGACTCAACTGCTCTGATGCATGATCATCTTAAAGAGTTACGAGATCATGCCATACAACACCCAGTTAGTAGAGGATTTGGTGCCCATTGGGTCCCTTCTAGACCCGCTCCGTTATCTGAATTGAAGAAAGGTCCCACAAATCAGTTACTAAGATTAAAAAAAACAAAAAAATGTGACCTAGGCCAAGAAATTGGGCAACAATGTAAATACCTTTGATTTGTTTCGCTACAACATACAAACTGCATCGAAAATTACTATATTTATCTTTAGTACAGTGTTGTGGAAAGGACAAGACTTTAACATAATGTTTCATGAAAAAGTATAATTTTTTATTCATCTTCCTTTTTTATTCTGGAATCTTAGTTCAACTACTTTTTATCAGTGACCAATATTTTCTATGCCCATTTACTACATGCGAATCGTTGGCCCATATGATTCGACTATATTTGAATGTAGTAGCACAAACGGCACTAATAAGGAAGATTTGATGTGCCAGTTTATGTTATATTCATCCCTTGACGTCTTGGACGACATTATATGGCAACGAGATGATATCTACGTATCAAAAGTTGACCAACCATATGGTGAAAAGTATTATGTCTCTGCTTTTGTTGGTCTTGCACCCATTCGTTTAATCATGATGCAGGACACAGAACCGAAGGACTCACTACGAGTCTTTTTTGCAGAAGCCTACGAATTAACAATGAAATATCTGCTCAACCCCTTTTTCGATGCGACAAAAAAGATAGAAAGCGCCAGTTTTCATAATAGTATCATGACATTGCTTAACCGCTCTTCATTTTAGGTTGAAAACCACGAATAAGTTGGTATCACACCAATAGGCGTCAAAAAATTGCTCTGCTCAGCTTTGTGAGAGCGTTTCATTGTCTTCCTTAGCCTTAAGTTGCGAGGCCATTACATAAGGGACAATCCAACGTCAGTCAGCTGCTGGGCCGTTGTTACAACACGGAGAGGAGTTATCCCCACAATGTGCCCCCGCACACTTTCATCATACTACACTGTTTCACAAAGGGAGGTAGACAGAGGAGACGTACCACTACCTGCCTATAATTCATCGGGTCAGCAATTCCATCGGCTCCGGCAGGTTCACCTTGATGTTGCGGGACCCCCAGGTCGAAAGTGGCGCCTAGATCAGGACGTGGCAGAGCTACGTGAATCTAGCCCTGGAGGAAGACCGCAATTCCTGAGTTTGGGATTATGAATAGACACTAGAGCCAATTCTCAAAAAGGAGGAGGACGAGGAAAGAACCTCAGTGCGTACCAGGGAAGAGATAACCCAGTTGGAGGAGGAGCTCATTCTCCGCCAGACGGCCGTTCGAGACAAGCAGCGCCAACTAGAGATAGTGAAGCTTGACAAGGTGAAGGGCAAAGAGGCAATTTCGCGTGAGCCTGAGATAGTTCAGGAATCTCGAAGTGCCCTGCAGGAGGAACTTTGCCGCCAGCGCGGGCAGTGGATTAAGCAAGTTCTGGAGATCAATCAAAGGATTCTTGACCAGCTTCACGATCTGCATGAGGAGCTCCCCCGTAACGGGAGAAGATATCTGCGGAGGAGGCGGCGAACAAACAGGCGATCATTGATGATATCAAAGTCACCGAGGAGTACTTTCCCCATCTTATTTCGCTGGAAGACACACCAAAGAACCCTGAGGAAATGGAGAGCATCCGTCGGCAGTTTGACGCAATCTTCGAGAAGGAAAAGGAGGGCTACGTTGTCAAGATTGAGGAGGAGAAGCTACAAAAGGAGAAACTAGAAAAGGGCCTTGGGGCATACTGTAGTCGTGTTCTGGAAGCGGCGCAGTTAAAGAAGGAGAAGAATCTTCGGGAGGCTACCCGAAAGGAACAGCATCTCAATTTCATGTTGGACCAAGTGCTTAACTGCCTACGTCAAGGTGTTAGGATGACTAAGATAAACAGCAAAGGAAATATGCGCCGTCGTTTCTACTTTTTATCGAATAACGGCAAATATATCTATTCATGTTAGCTGGATAGCCAAGATTCATCCATCAACCGTCGATGATTATTTCGGTTTCGGATATCGAGAAGGTTGTGATTAGCCTTTACACTGTGTCTTTTGTCGGGTGTAGCGGCGAGGCCCAGCTTGTGAGGACGCGGCTGGAGGCCATGAGCGACAATGGGACCTACCGCCACGACCCCACCCACGCGATCACCCCAGCCAACATTGGGCTTTATAATTACCACTCTTTGCACTTCTGAGGTGTCATTCTTTACCACCCCCTCCAGGATTAGTTCTTGGGTTCAATTTTTGTCCTTATGCCCCACATTTCTCTAGGAAGAGAACTCTTGTTTAGGACTTTTTTGAGAAATGTAGCCACATGCGACACCAGGGAAGCGGAATCTAGTGACAGGTGAGATTTGAGGCTAAAGTCTTGATTCTGATGATGTGACGATATCCTGAAAGAAATGATTATAATACAGCTTATTTGTCGCGTTACATAGGCGATTTAAATCCAGCTTTTCCTTTTCCCATAAGGTTGCATACCTCTGTGGGTTGACTATATCATTGTGTGGTTTGAGAAAATTATCCTCACATTCCGAATGGGTAGGGTGTATTTATCATTCGCTTCTTTTTCTTGTTTGGATAAGAATAAAATAAAATTGACCATATCGACAGTGCATTTTTCAATTTATCTCTCCTTCTCCCTGTGTTCTTTTCCCTGACCAAAGAAAAAACGCATACTGTTAAAGCTAATCTAAATAATGAATTTTTACGCAACCATCTTAATTTTTATTGTACTATTTGGTACACTCTCCCATGCAGACACATCTCCGTATGACCCTACCTTCCATATTTTTGTCCCTCAACACTGGATCAATGACCCTAATGGCCCCTATCGAGACCCTGTCACAGGCAAGATCCACTTGTACATGCAATATAATCCCTTTGGAGCAATCTGGGGTAATATGTCGTGGTATCATGTAACTTCGGATGACTACGTCAACTGGAAACGCAGTGAAAGCCTATCCATGGTCAACGACCGCTGGTACGACTTGCGTGGTGTGTATTCTGGCACGATGATCAACAACCATTTGGGAGACCCAGTTGCCATTTATGCTTGTGTCGAGAATGCGGGCGAGGAGGATATTGCTGAAGGCAGGCCTGACATCCAGCGTGTGTGTACCGCGAGCCCATCCAAAACCGATCTTAAGGGCAAACGCACGCTGGACATCTTAGAGAAGAACCCAGTCAACCCCGTCTTAAGCGAAGACGACGTTCCCGGGCTGGTTTACCTCAACAACTTTCGTGACCCGACAGAGTTGTGGGCCGATCCGGCACACGCCGATGAGTGGCTCCTTGCAGCCATTGCACGTGTTAAGGATGATGAGGGTGACAACGCGCATGTGGTTCTCTTCCGCACCGCAGACCCCACGTTTATGAGCGGCTACAAGTTTTCACACACCCTCTACACGTACCACCTTGAACCAATGTTGGAGTGCCCTGACTTCTTTACTGTGGACAGCACCAATGGGTACTTTCTGAAGTTTTCAACAATGGAAGCACGTCGTGAATTCATCGTTTACGGCAACTACCAGCCAAACGAAGCGAAGGACCAGTACGTTTATGTTGAGGACACTGACCGCACCAACACGTTCATTGACTTTGGGCCTTACTATGCGTCCAAGACCTTCTACGACCCAATCCTGAAGCAGCGCATGATCTGGGGTTGGGTTCCCGAGGAGATGGAGCAAACGCAGAATGTGAAGGTTCAGGGATGGGCTGGCGTGCAAGTTCTACGTGGAATCGCCTATGATGAGAAGCAGAAGCGTCTCAAGTACCCACCAATACCACAGTTGAAAGCTCTGCGCAAGGCGCGCCTCCTCAACAGGACGCTGGCGCTTTCGTCTGACACTACCAGTACCGTTCTGACTCCGTTTGAAGCAGGGACAATGCATCAGGAGATTATTGCAAAGTTCTCTTTTCCCGCAGGCCTTTTTGATGAAACGAAGGGATACACCAAGGAAAACACCCCTGAGGTGGGCTTGCGCATCCGCACTAACACCAATGGATTCGAATACACAACTGTGTCACTGAGGATGCCAGCGGCAACGCCTGAGTCAAATGTTTGCCATGAATGCACCTACTTGGAAGGGCGGAACACCGCCTATAAGATCTATCCCATCAAGAATGACAATGAGGCCGTGATGAACTGCAGTAAGGAATGCGCAAAGGAGCGCACCTGTGAATCGTGGGCTCTGGATGAAACAGAAAATAAAGACATGATGCAGTGCTCATTATTCTGGGACTACAGTTCTAAGGTATCTACCTCAAATAAGGTTGTGTCCAGCGGTGTCGTTAATGAGCCGATTCTTTACCTCGAGCGTAATAAGTCGGATACCATTGGCTACAACTTTCCACTGCACGGTCGTGCGCCGTTGGCATCGAGCACCGAATTGGAGTTGCATATCTTTGTTGATGGCAGCGTCATTGAGGTGTTTAAGGACGACGGTTTGCAGACCATCAGCGGCCGTGTGTACATCCCCGATGGAGTCGCTCACAGCGGTGTTGGACTCTACACCCGCAATACGGGTGATGCTCTTGTTAGCGCCAACATTCAGGTATTTTCGATGGGCACTATATGGAATTAGCCTCGCCCACCTAGGGGGCCTGTCTAACTTCACCAACACCCTATAACTGCGCCTCGTATATTACCTTTGCTGGTGTAGATCAGAATGGTGACGGGGAAGAAAAGCAAGTTGCTTTAAGTATGTTGTCTATTTCAAAAACTAAATCTAATAAATCTTAACTTAATTTGTTTCCGTTTTTAGAATACTTAAGTAGGTAAAAATGATTTTTTTTCTTGTTTTTGGTGGTATTTGTTTTATTTTTCTGGTTCAATAAACGTTGAAAAGCAAAAAAACTTTTTTATTTTTGGTGACATTTATTTTAATTTCTTGGTATAATAAACTCCAAAAGGCGATAAAACTCCTTTATCTTTGGTGACATTTATTTTAATTTCTTGGTATAATAAACTCCAAAAGGCAATAAAACTCCTTTATTTTTCGTGGTATTTATTTCTATCATATAACAATTAATGATGAAATAAAATTCAGGTCTTATGTATAATAGTTCTGCAAACAAGTTACGTTAAATTATTTATTATCCATATGGATATATCAAAATGTATTTTTGGCTATTAAAATCTTTAACCTTCTTAAGTATTACAATACAAATAAGAAGATACAAATATTAATATTTTTGAAACGAGTTAAAGTTATTTGAATTTATTATAATTTATTTGAATACAACGCGTTGGCCAGATTATGGCTTCTGTTTGGATCCATTCAATAGAATGGAGAGGGGGTTGATCATGTTAACGCGATGGTTCCGTATTAGTGCCTCTCTTTGTTGATTCTGAGTTTCTGGTAAGCAAAATTAATTTTTTTCTAGGCGTATGAAATAGGTGTCCAAGAACTTTTTATTTCATATACCGACTGCTTGGTTTCAATAGGTAAGCGCAGTGCGTCGATATATGGGCCAATCGGCAAACGTGGTGGATATATCGCTTGCAATG